ACTCTATTGTCTTCTTAGATTCTTCCATGAACCCTTTTTCAATTACAAATTATCCCTTTTCCCAGGTTGCCCTCCTTTAAATGAGGACATTCATTGAACACATTCATCTTAGTTTTCTATCTTACCATCCATCTCTTAATTAGTTTAATTTTTTTTGTCTGTTTATTTTCTTGCTCATTTTAATATACATTGATCCCATTAAATGCTTTCACTGAATGGAAGCATTTCATGATTTAAACTTGAAAAATCACCCACATTTTTAAAGTGGTTTAGATAATTTTGTTTGGCAATATGACATTGGCATACGAAATGCACCCTCTCGATCATGTGCCAGCTCCTGTCAGCTTTCCACTGTTATATCGTCAATATTTGTTTCACCTTAGTGATGAAACCATAATTCAGCTCATTAGAAGTGCACGCATATCATTATTGTGATGCCTCTTAGAACCGTTTGTCCTTTCTCAAATATTCACACAGTGACCGTCGAATTGAACGGGTAAAACCCATTGCCGGATCTACCAATATAACTCCAACCACCTCCATTTCTGTCCCTTCCCTCCCCCTTTTATTTCCCAACGGTCTGTTGTACTTTGCATGTGATTGCTATGTGTCACGAGAAAGCCATAGTTAAGTAACACCAACTAATTTTTCACCTATTGAAAACAAATGAATCCACCAATCAAATTTTGTTGTGTTCTCATCACTACTCCGATCAACAAAGTTTTGTCGGGTCAATGCAACACTAGTTTATCGCTATGAATGTCACTCTTGTAAACAGTAATAAGTGCATTGTCAGCCAAAAGGGTCTCCAGATAGGTGCCTTCAATGATTTAGAATAGCCCATGGTCTAGACCCACATAAACAATCGCATGCACACACAGACACGGTTAGCCTCAAGACTGCAGTGGATCAACACACAGGCCTTATTGTATCCCCATTTCAGATAGTAGTCATTTTTAGTTAGATGTCACATCACTTGTAGCATGCATGCATTAGTCTTCAAATGTGATTGGTAGTGTGTCAACTAGGAAGAAATCGATTAGCCAATCACACTTGACCATGAGTCTTGGCTTTTGTGCTAATGACTACTACCTACTGGCACGGTTTCGTAATTTCTTGCCTTCCTTGCAAAGTGATTTCACAATGACTTCATAGCTGCAAGCACTCTACTAAAGCGTTCTATCAATCTAAATGAAAAGTTGTTGACTTTTTAAGATGCCTTTTTTCTCTGGCAATCGCATTATTGCATTAGTCCCAATTAGTAAATCTCAGTTGAGCAGGAGTTGAGCCAGATACAATTTAAATTTTACAAAAATTTAGCTGCCCATTAATGGACTATCGTCGGAATTAAAATTCCCAGTTAACTGTCTGATTCCATTCAGGATTCAAAAAAGGTGGATAAATTAGTACTGGTTAGTGAACACCCGAAATACAACAAATCACACATCTTTAGCATACTTAGGTTCAAGTTAAAACTAGTCGTATCCTAAAATGTTTTGGTTAAATGATTTCAAATTTATTTGGGAGAGTTAGTAAATTACTTGATCGCAGATCTTCAGGTGATCAATTAATCAACCAATCAGATTTTTGGCGAGTCGGACGCCTTTGGATACGTTGTGGAATATTAAATAGGCTTCTCATTTTCCGAAAATGTTGAAGAATGTGAACGACTTAGTTTTAAATCAATTAAACAGACTCAATTGAAGGACTTCAGCTTCCCAACACACGTGTGCGCTGAAGAGGAGAATAATCAGACACTGGTCACCTCCGTTTTTGTCGCACTTTCATTTACCAACTATCTGCTCTACTTTTCACGTGGTTGTTCTATTCCGCGAGTGATATTCATCACATGGATAAATATCGCCGAGGTGACGCATTGGATGAAGTGAGGCAAAACCACCTTCCTCCTCTCCATCCCGTCCCACGTGTTGCGAGAATTTGCGCCGATTTAAATAAGTAAAAAGCATCTACCAAACGTTTCAGCTCTGGCTTAAAACACGCGTGTAACCCCATATACACAGAATGAAGCAGCAGAACACATGTTCAAACACGTAGCCACCATCTGGCAAACTTTCTCATCCAAGGGTACAGCTCTTATGCAAGACACGTGCATTATTCAATGAAAGGTAGGTACCAAAACAGCATGATTGAGTCAGAAAGAAGGTAGAAAGAACAAGAGGGAGAAGTAAAGACAAGCACTTATTACTCTGGTGGTACAGGATTGTGTGAGGTCACTCTCGGTACACTCCCACCACCTCGAGTGTAACGGCCTCTTGGCAATGATGAAGGCAGCTTTACCCTTGTTGGTGGTCGCAGTTGTGATGCCTGTCCTCTGGCACCTCCACGGGCTGAAGAACCCGGTACTGTAGTCGAAGTCCTATTTGGCGGTTGTGAACGCAAAATAGTTGGTGGACGGGTTGATGAAATTCCTCTCCCTCCCCTCCCACCACTAGAAATTGCAGCGGGAGCTATTCCTCGGCGTATAATCCCAGAAGGCCCTCTGGTAGGCGTGGTGGGCGTCTTCGCAATCAATGTACGCTGTGAGTTGGTCATTACGTTTTCCGAATTTGACGCCAGAGGGCTTTGTGGCGGTTTCACTAGCTTCGACAAGGGGGCCCGCAGGCCACTAGGACGCAACAACTCACTTTGACGTTCTTGCGGATGCTCCGACAACGCGTAGGTCTCCGAACTGTCCCTTAAACCACTGAATGATTCGCTTGAAGCGGCCAAATTTATATCCATTGCCTCTGAGTTCATTGTAGTCATGGTGTCCGCTACCCAAGCCTCCACCGCACTGCTTGCGTGCTTGGCGCTGTGCAACTGCTCCAAATAGCTACCTGGACGAGCAGTTTTCGCGGTCGATGGCGTATCCGGTGTGACAGCCTCCATATCAACCGGTAAAGTGAGAGGCGGAGGAATGTTGGATTTACTTCCACGTGATGGACGACGCATTGTCACCGGAGAGGTGGATTTCCTCGGTAGTGCAACATCACCGGACTGGATGCTGCTACTAAATGATGCACGAGTAGCGTTCAAGTCATAAGTAGCACCGGAGTCGCGTAGCTCGGTGGGTCGTTCAATAGATTGGTGACGGAGAGGTTCATTCTGAGATGGCTCAGCCGCTGGCGGTGGTCGAGGCGAGGCCACCTCACTCCCGATCGACGAGCCGGAGCCCTTCAACGAATTCTCTGCCGACCGAGTAAGGGAGTCCCGAGAGCGTACCTTCTGCATCACCTGCTCACCCGAAGCTCTCAGCGATTCTGCCTGTGCCCGAATCATCTCTGTCAACGAAGCCATGTCCTTCAAACTAGATTGCGATAAGGACTTATTCCGTGACAAGTCAGTTCCAACCGCACGTTTACTTCCAGAGTCATAACGCGGGGGAACATCCTTGATCCCGCGCTGCTCAAAAATACGAGACAGACTGCCACCCTCGCCTTGCAAAGACTTATTCAACCGATCTGTGCTTCGACCACGACCACCTCCACTACTGTCGATAGAGCTGGTGAGAGAAATATTGATTTCACCAGTTCGTCCGCTAGACGCGCGTAGCTTCATTTCCTGTTCGCGCATCAGCGCCATGGCATCCGACATGTTGGTAGGAAGGATATTAGACCCTGAGTCACTGGTTTTCATAATCATGATATCAGGAGCGGAGAGTTTGTGATGAAGCTCATTGACGGTGGCGGCGGGTGGGCGAGGGCTGCGCATCGGTGAGGCAGAAGAGCGAGGAAGGAGAGTGTTGTCACGATGAAGATTTCGTGACTGAGTGGGGTGGCGGACAAAAGTGAGGTGGCGAGTGGCGCCCTGAGGCAGTTCGGAGGAGGGTGTGGGAGGAGGCGGGGGCTGACCAGTATTAATACGCTCCATAGAGGCTCGTGGACTGGGAAAAACGTCGCTTAACTCCTCAGCATCAAAGGTGCGACCCAAGAGTTGGGTAGAGTTGCCACTCAAATCTGAGGCCGCGATGTTGGCATTGAGAGAGCGTTGGAGTTCACCCTCCACGTGGAGTCGATTCAGCGAATTCTATACACAAAAATTAGGCCCATACACAAGTAATAGATGGTCACTTCATGATATATACGCAATACTTCAACAACCTGTTCGCATGCGGTCATAGGATTGGCAGATTAAGCCAAATTTTGATAGCGAAATAATCTGCAGGCGCAAGGTAACGTGTTAGAGAAGTATGAACAAAGTGAAAAGAAGACAGAAGCTTCAAGGAGGCCAAGATTTTCTCTTTGATTCATCCATTCAAAACTCTCACAGTGAGGGTTCACACATTCTTTTATGAGTAATTTCCTCGTCTGAATATTCCAGTATACATAACAGCCAAGTAGGTCCATATAATTACATGAATCCTTTAATGTATTTTTTGAGCATGATAATCACATCTAAAGTCAAGCATTCTTTCCCAAGGAGAGGCGTGGTGGCGAAAAATCCCTATTTCATAAAGAATTTTGTCTCTGAAAGCAGTAATCAGAGCCACAGCTACCACTGCTTCCATTTCAACTCTATTTCCTAATTGTCTAATGTCAAGAGAAGGCGACAGCCACGACTTGGACTAGTGAGTCGATCGTTTGGTAATAACCAAGGGCACGTTTCTCCACCCAATGAAAGTTGATCATGCAAAAATTACTTCACATCACGGGTCAATTATTCACCCAGCAAACTATCCAAAGGGATGTCCACTGTCATTTGTTGTTTTACCATAGCCGACGCAACCCATTTGTTTGGCAGCCTTCATCACTAAGAATTAAAGAATCTTCCAGAACGTGATACATCTGTCTATGAGGGATTTCGCACCGTTTCTGAGCGACACATTTTCGCCACTGCCCCATTTTCAAACGCTGCACGAAGCCTTCGCGGCCTTGATCACGACTTCCACTCAGTTCGTGAAGTAGACAGGCTCAAATCACATGCACCACTTTCAACAAATATCGTATATATGAGGGTTTAAAATGGCAAGAAAGTGGTGATCGCAGTAGAGAGGGAGAGATAGAACACACAGCACTGATGGCCTGGTGCATATCTGTGCCTCATAACCCCATGTATATTGGCGGTCGTTAAAGGCTACCTCAAATCACTGCAGCAGGTCAAGCCAACAATCACGCACTTTTTTCTAGGTAAACTTGGTACTAACATAAGAAATTGGGTAAAATCTCCACATTTTAAGCAATATATAATCACAATGCATAGAAGTAGGGGAGTAGACAGAGGGCAAAAAGCCTAACAATGAAACAGGAAACTACAACTCAATAAAGAAGGACAGGCCAGTTAACTAAAAAATGGGAAAAATGAGCCAACAAATTGGAAAGGCCGCTGCATCGACTGAGTCGACAACACAACATAACGCGCTTTCAGCATGCATAATCGAGCACTAACTCACCCCGAGAGTAGAAGATTAACTGTGAGAGAAAAATTGGAGAGAAAATAGATTAACCGCCCCATTGGGTACTACTTCAGTGGAACTGAGCAAGAAAAATTCACGTGTCTTTGCCTAATTTCTTTTTGATGCAAATTTCACAAGTCACGAACGCATAAAAGCTTTGACCGGGAAGGTTGCTAAATAGTTCGAGCAAAAACTTCTGCTCTGGAATGTGCCATAAGGTAGAAAGGTCTGAACCAAGACCAAGGTAGGGAATCTGGCGAATGATCCAGAAAGCATTCGTCCAAATATGATACAGAATTAGCAGCACCGCGATTTACCTAGGTTACGACTTCCACCTGCATTAAAGCTTGATGCAATAACGAATAAATCGGTTGAGGAGTCACATTCTCGGAGGCAGTTTTAAAGTCTAAATCAAATGTATGAGTTGAGATCAGGCACATTACAAATTGGGGAGGTGATAGTAAATTCACTTTTTCACTTTTTCACTCTAGCATACAGATTAACCTATCTCTCCTTAAAGTAATCGTAGCTTGATAAACGGATACTATTACTTTTCTTTTCAAGGAGCAACAATCTCTCACGACAAAAATAAGTCGCTACAACGGCTTTATTAAACAGCTACACTTAGCTGACACCTACCGTAGTAAATGAGGTAAATAACAGGAGCGAAAATATGCATTTAAGCACCTGGGATTATTTACGAGTAGAAATAAGCAGACCACGGGAAAATGGATACTATAATGTATGAAAAATTGAGAGATATCGTCAACTACCAGATATTGCAAGTCCAGCAAGACGGAACGCTAGAAACACAACTTCGATTGCTATATGGCGATTGCTCAAACACGTGTTAAACACGCGACTTGAAAGCTGCTCGATCCACGAGATATCTCCATGATTGTAGTAAAACCTATTTGTAAACTCTAAATTCAACACTAAGAAGTTAAAAAAACCAACCTTGGAGTATGTCCTCTGGAGCTCACAGCCTTCCGAACGGTTTGTCTCCCTCCGCTCAGGACTTTTGCAGATTCGAGGATTTAGCGTGTCCTGTTCCTGCCTTTGATGCGATTTCATTGGAGTGGAATAGACTGGCTTATGCTTATTCACAGCGTATGTATCTCTACGATAGTGCCCATCAACATCGCCTTTCCTTTCTATAACTGTCTTCTCCTCTTCCTCAACATCAATCGATTTCGCTGCTAGTCGGAGGGTGGAGTGGTGCCGCACTCTCTTCTCCTTCCCCTGGGCCCGCCTTCGGCCCTCCTCCAAAGCAAGAGCCTGTAAGCGCTCAAGCTCATTCAGCCGATCCAAAAGTCCACTCGCCGCCGAACGAATCGGACCCGCCTGTTCGAAGGGCGCGCGGAGCATAGCTGTCAACGCAACCTCCTCCTCGTAGGAGAGCACATCTTTGCCGACGAGGGAGGAATCAGACCACGCGAGCTCTGCATCGAGCCACCAACTGGGAGGACCAAGACCGGCGGCCTCTTCGAGGGCGTCCAAATCGGCAGAAGTGAGGTGACGGGTAAAAAGCGGCTCACCCGGCACCGTCACGTTACTCGGCCATTCTGCCAGAGGGGCCGAAGTGGCAGGGTGGGTAGGGGACTTGGTTGAGGATTTCGGCGGACGGGCAAAGGTTGTGGCAAGTTTGTTGGAAATGTTGGTGAGCATGGCGAGCTAGAATACTGAATGGAAATAATTAAGGGTCCCAGAACTGCTAGTTTGAATAATTCTACTGATTTGGTAGAGGCTTAATTCTTTCAATGAAGGATTGGGAAGAGTGAGTAAAGTTATCTAGAAACTCGATAGGACTTGAAAATCCGAGGCGATCGTGAAGAAAACAGTTTATGCGTTAAGCCAAAATGTGATTACATGCACATCCTCATTCTAGGTGGAAATGTACTATGCAAATCAACACAACATTGTAAGATTATTGAGAGAAAGATTAAACTCAGAAACAAGTAAATTTACAAACTGATAGTGTTTAAAATTAAAAAAAAACACGACAATTTCCCAAAGATTCTCAAGCTTTTAGAAGAAATAAAGTAAGAGTGACCCAGAACGGTTTTAAAGTGATTTAAATACAACGTGAAGGGAACAATTCGAGGCCCGACAGAAAATTATAAGTAAGGACAAGGACTCTACCAAGAGTGCGTACAATTCACAAAATGCGTTTGCGAATTACCACGGAACTATTTACTAAACAAAGCATTCAGTGTAAATTGCAGCCCTTGAAAAAATAAGTGAAGATTTGAAAGTCCAACAAACAAAACCATCTATTAGGGTCAAAGCTTAAGATGGCGCTAGAGCTGCTCAATGACACAGAAGAAATCTTCAGAAAAAGCACTACTTGCATGATATTTACAAAGGAATCAAATAATTGTATCGAAGCCTAAGCTGCGGTAAAAGTAAACTCCTGGCAAGCAACATCAAAAGCGGCCCTTTAGAAACGAGCGGAAATTAACTAATTAAAGAAGTACTTCAATGAGTCGACGTTCAAAAAGGGAATCGATGACAACGCTCTTCCACTTTGCCCTCCTTTGTATGACCTTCCTAATTTCATCCCCCAAGGTCATTGCTCGAGCAGGTAAGTAGATAAGAAGCATTAAAAATTTATTCCACTCCTAAAATGATACAAAATAGCAAAAAAATTTAAATTTGCGGTGATTTTAAAATAAGTTACTAATAAGACCGTCATATATTCAAATTTTTTATATGCTAAATCTGTATGAAAAAGTTTTTAAAGTAAAAGATCTTTTAAGTAGCATTTCTGCTATGGATATGTCTGTAAATTTTTAATTTTTAGGATGATTATCTAGTTTCATTTCACAGCAAAATCTTGCGTGTTCTATATTGCAGAAGAATGCGTGCTGGCATTTTATTAGTAATCTTTGCACATTTAGTTCTGTTTGTTATTTCTTGATACGTGTTTTTTTAAATAACATCAATAATATGCGCAATTATAAGTAATAAGCAAGTTTTGGTAACTTTCAGGGTAATTTTCTGACCTGGTTTTAATCCTCTTTTGTCATCCCGGGCTATACAGAGCTTTACCATAGCCTTTGTGCGATGTATGGTGGCGTCCGTCTGCTCCATGTGTTTTCGAGTAGTTTTTTGCGCGTTCCGATTGGGATCGGTAGTAGTTTCAGTCTTTTTTAGCTTTTTTTAGCTTCTAGATGCTCGTCCTTTGTATCAAATGAATCCAGACGACCTTTGTACTTTGATTTTCAAGCCACCACGCCTATTGTAAATTCCTTATTTTACTATCATCGATTAGGACCCTCGCGTTTTAGATGCAATGCTTCCATATATGCTGAGCTCTTTTGGTAACCCACATTCTCGCACGCACATGTATGGTTGGGTGGCAGAAGAAGCTGTCGAGGTGGCCAGAGCCGAAGTTGCAGACCTGATAAATGCCGACACTAAAGAAATAATTTTTACAAGTGGAGCCACGGAATCCAATAACCTATGTATCAAAGGTGTCTCCCGATTCTACGCCTCTAAGAAGCGTCATATTATCGTCTCCCAAATCGTAAGCTCATTCACTTTTCTTAACTCTTTATGAGGAGCACAAATGCGTCCTGGATTCTTGTCGTGCCATGGAGAACGAAGGATTTCAGGTCACCTACCTACCTGTCCAATCCAATGGACTTGTTTTGCCAGAAGACGTTGAACGAGCTATCCGGCCAGATACCTCTCTCGTTTCCATAATGACAGTCAACAATGAGATCGGAGTTATTCAACCCATTGAAGACATCGCCAAAATATGCCGTGCCAAGAAGGTCTTCTTCCACACCGATGCTGCTCAAGCTGTGGGAAAAATTCCTATAGATGTCAATAGGGGAAATGTATGCGAGAGCGTTCCCACTTTGCCTTGCATTGAACCTCCAACTTTTGATAAATCTAATCAATTTATGTTCAGATTGACCTTATGTCCATCAGCGGGCACAAAATCTACGGACCGATGGGGATAGGTGCTCTATACGTGCGGCGGCGACCGCGTGTTCGTTTGGAGCCCATAATAAGTGGCGGTGGTCAGGAGCGTGGTCTGCGTTCGGGTACCCTGCCAGCTCCGCTTGTTGTCGGCCTAGGCGCTGCCTGTCGCGTTGCCAAGGCGGAGATGCAGGTATGCGTGCATTTTTGTGAATTTTCTTAGGAAAGTTGAGTCGGCTATTTACTCATGTATTGCTTCCTTAACAGTCTTAGAATTAAGTAATCTCCTCTCATTGAATCCTTCTTTTCATTTATAAAGTAACCTTCGTTTTCTTAAACGAGGTTAATGGCATTACCGGTTATCGTCGTTGTGCCATTGTCCGGAAATTTTGTCAAAATTTCTCTTTTTCCATCCTGTTTAAAGCACAGTCGACTTTCGCCTTCCAGTTTCCAGTGTTTTTGAGGCAGAGATGATGTCGTATTAATGGACTACTGTTCGGCCTCTCCTTTGAAGTCATTATAAGCCAAATCAGTATGGAAAATTCATTAATTTACGGCAAGGTTGGGGGGACTATGGGCGTGGCCAGAGAGCTACAGTACTGAGCGGAAGTGTAACCTTTGAGGACTGAAGGATCCGCGTAGGTAATTAGAACGCTAAGCAAATGTAAGGCCACTGCGCCCCTCTCTTTTTTGAGTGGCATCCTTGGGGCTTTTTGGTTACTTTGCCCGACTAATATCAGAGCGTAGTTGGGGTTTTAAAGACCAGATGCGAGCTAGGGACAGTAGTCATTAGATTTTCATGGGGAAGAGGAGACGTCTGGTTTCAACTTCATTAATGTATTCTATTGAATTCATCGAATTAGGCGTTTCTCTCCCCCTTCTTGTAAATCGCGTCAAAGAGGGGGAAGATTTACCCGCATCGCATTGCTCAAGCCCGGACGATACTTTACTAAAAACGCGTTTTATGAAGCAGTCTCTGCTTTTACAAACATTGGCGTGCATTAGAGGTAACTAACAACGGAAGTAAAATTAGTTTCACTGAAGCATCATTCTGCATCCATTTCTTGCCGTATTGTTGTCCCTTTAACACTGTTCAGCTGCCTGTCCACTCGGAGTGCCATTCTTTTGAGTAAATCATATCTCTTCAGTAGGTGATGTTGACAGCTGCGGGGTAGGAATTTTTGAATTACTCAAGTCTGCTATCGTTTTACCTGTTAATTACCTTTTCGCAGAACATGGGTCCTCACAGATTCAGCTATCTGTCAAAGAGGTCAGCATAGGTGACCTTTTGGATCGGGTTTGCTTGCCCTCTTCCATCGTAGCAATTCAAGGCTTCCTGATGTCGTAATAAACCATACTTATATGGCTATAAATATGGCCGGCAGGCCCTGTCGTCTGGACGTGTTTACAACCCGTTGTGACAAAAGTGCCCGGGGAGTTAAGGATATGTAACTAAACAAATATCAAACCACTGCAAAAAAGTAGATGTTTAGGTATTAAGCCCTTGGCTTTGGGAAACATTTTTGTAAAGGTTCGGCGGCACCGTCATTATTCTTTCCGCCACATTTAAAGCAGGTGCTTTTCAAGAACTCTGGTAACGCATTACTTCCCACCGCTTTTTTCGGGGAAAATAACCAAGAGCGATTTGGCTGATTTCCAGTTGCTCTTGCGGCCCCATTCTAAATGGGGATTGCGTTTTATTAACCACCTATTAACAAGCACTACAGTTTTTGTCAAACCTAAGGGGAAAGGGCGCCTGTAGCTTTCAAATAATTTACTCCCGGAGCTTTTCGATTGCTGGTGCTTTCTCATTCATTAGTTGTATTTCTTTTCTGTGTTCTCTTTGGTAGTCCCCTTAGATTCGTTTACGAATTTTGGCGTACATATGATCAATTCCGTCGTTCAGATTCATATTTCTTATTAGTCTTGTCTTGTTAACCTTGATATGTCATTAACTTCATGTGTCAGGTGGTTGATTGTAGTATGTTATGAGTTTTAAGGGTTCAAAGAAGCATCCAATAGGTCCACAGTAACTGTTGAAATGGCCTCTAAAATGTCTATGTGTGCTTTTCAAATTATTTTTAGTCACTTTTCCGCCTTAGAACTAGTGGTGTGGAACCACCGTATCAGGAGATTTTGAGGGTGATGTGTTAAAGACAACACGATCACAGGCATTATCATTCACTCAAACCTGAGTTGAACAAATCGTGCTCTGAGAAATGAAAGGCCTCCTTGGGCGACTCTCGATTCAAGGCCAGACAACCGTCTCCAGTGTCTGCGTGTAGACTGCTGTGCTTATTCCAGGGTCTCTTCCTCCGCTTATTTTGCTATTTTTGTACTTCCACAGTTATCTTTCCGGATTACTTCCAGAGATTTGGTGGCATCCAAGCGTATATAGCCGATTCTCTTGTATCCTGACGTAACATTCCCCGCCAAAAAATTCCTCCAGCTAAACCAGATGTTGGCTTTTCTCAAGTAGATTCACCAAATGCTGCGAATAATATTACCACTAAGGCTGCCGTCTCTTCATACGCATTGGAATTGTGGAGGTTGAATGAGAAGTAGCAGGCTCGTGTTGAAACATGGAAGACTCATGAGTGCATAAAGAACTCTGTCACAATGGTTAGAAAGAATGGTCGGTCACAACTTGCCTTCAGTATTGTCAGTTGACTTTTTGACGTCTCTTTTAGCTCTCTCTCAAACGCAGTAGTTTAAATGGGCTGTAAAGCATTTTCTGCTGTAAATGTAGTAACTAAAACTTCCGTCATTCACTGCTGGATTGTGCGGGGAAACACGTGGTCTTTACCGTGCAAATTTCTCAATTTAATGTCTGGCTACGGACAGTAGCATGGAGCCTCTCTCTATCACATAGGTTTACGTGCAGATTGAGAAGGTGGAATTACGACTCGTAGTATGGCTCACAGAAACTGTCCTCAACTAAGATAATCACACTCACCTTTGTAGAACGACGCGAAACACACGAGGCAGTTGTACGATCGCCTGTTGAAGGGCATCACCTCACAACTGGAGGCAGTCATTCTTAATGGAGACCCGGAGCGACGCTACTATGGGTGCTGTAACCTCAGCTTTGCCTTTGTGGAGGGTGAGAGTCTCCTCATGGCACTCAAGAATGTTGCCCTCTCCTCTGGCAGGTGGGTTTTTACCCTCTTCTGCATTCTCTTTTATCCCCTTTTGATATGAGTAGCTAAGCTTATGGTGTGTTGAAATGTTGTTGTGTGGAGGAAGGGTGTCAGCTTTGTAATTTCATACTCTCGGAAAAGCTTTATTTGACAAGTTGTTGGGTTTTCCTTTTCTTCCTATCCTTCTTACTGTGTATCTCACAATGTAAATAAGTGAGCTCGCCTATAATGTGGGCACATAGATCCGGAAAAGAAAACATTTATGGTGAAGTTTGACAAATTAAAAATTATCCAATTCTCATATATTCTTTTTTCTCTCCCTCATTTTAGAGCTGTGTATTTTTTGCAAATCTGATTACATTGTCTTTAAAAAGACACCTGTGTGGTGGAGAAAGAGAGTGAATTTCACCATTCATTTTCCTCGATGAAATGAAGTGGATCTTTTTGCATTTTCCCTAATTTCTTGTCCTCCTCGTCTATCCACTTCACTTCAAAATGATGAAATTGTTCAGAGTACGCCCAACCAATTAATAAACTTGTGTAATTAAGGAAGGGTATGCAATCACACCACCTCGGTTAGCATTGAAAACGCGATAAGGTGACTTCATGGTTGACGTATAGTTGATGACGTACGGCTGATCGCCTCTCAGTGGATAGTTAATTTCATGGCCTTCTTGTTCATCAAGGCCATAAACCGAATAGTCATCTGTACCTCCTCTTCCGTCTTTCACACTGAGGGGGTGGATTTGTTTGAAATACAACACAAGTAATCATTAAAGGGACTTACGTACCATCTATGCTCCTTAATGAGTTAAAACTGACTAGTTGGTGAAAAAATAAACCCATATGAGAAAAGAAGTGTTAAACATCAGCATCTTCCATTTTTTAAAGTGATAAAATAAAAAAGTTCTTGGATTCTATCTGACAGAGACATAGAAGCCTTAGTTTATAGCGTTTGGCGACGCAACACCCCTGAAAGAAATCGGGGATGCCTCATTGTGTCGATGAACTGAACAGAAGCATAAAACTTTGGTAGCTATAATCTGATCAAACTCGGGCCAGATTGTTGGAGACTCTGTCTCAGAATCTTAGAGTTCAGTCCACGCCACTGTCGGACCAAAGGTGGCAATCCATTGACTCTGTCGACAACGGTCTCACGAATTTGCGATTGGACATTCGATTCCCGCTTCATTGGGTGGTACGAGAGTGATCGGAGTTGGTTGGTACTGATGGTGGGCCAGTCATCATTCCAACAGATTGGCTTGATCTTTACGCAACAAAGGGAGTGATTCCCTTCACCTTGTTTTCCCCGTTTCAATAACTTACATAGGATGAGGAGATGGTGCCTTTAAATGCAATCTTATAGACCATGTCAGAAATTCCTCCTTTAATTTCCTCCGCCTACGGCGTGTTCCATTCAGGCCTTCATGTTTATAAAATCTCTTGTCCATATTGGTATTTTTCATGGTCTCTTTGAATACCTCCTTCCTCACCAGTTAAATAGGGTTTGTCGTGTTCTTACAACTGCGATATCTCACCAAATTATTCGGCCACGTAGGTTATTAGAGGCGTTTTTCTTTTGCCATCGTATTATGCTAGCCCAGCTGTTAATCATATTACAGCCTTACAGAGTGTAGAATATGCTTGTAGGTATATTTGTACAGTTAGAGATATTCTCAAAGAGGACATACTTTTTTCCAAGTGCAGAGGTAGCTTGATGGACTGGGACTGAAAAGACCTGAATAATCCTGCAATTGCAACAAATTTTAGCTGTCCCTAGTGTTCTACCTGTGAAAAGATTTCTCCTGTATTGGTTGCCGAGTTTTAAGCCAACGATAGCGATTCGTCTCTTGGCTTTCGGTGGTTTTGGTAGACATGACCTCTGTTAAATTGCGTTTGCGAAGTACCACCTAGGTCTGATCGGTGTTCCATAGGGAGGAAAGTGGTGCCTATAAATTGGCGTCTAGTTGCGTGAAGTTGTAACCTCTCGAGTTCCTAGCCGGAATAATCCACAGGTAAGGGCCGTCCAATGTGAGAGAGCTGGGAGTACGATGTACACGTACGTGGCTGTTGGATTAATGCAGGCGACATAGAGTGGTCCTATTCTCACATATTCGTTTCATTTTGATTTACCTCGGCTTTGCAGTGCTTGTTAGGCCATTTCAAGTCTATTTGTGCGCGATACTAGCCATGCAGATGGAGCTGCACAAGAGCGTGAGTTTCAAGCATCCTAGAATGTTCAGCATTCAGCCATGAAAAAGCAACATTTTCTGGGGTAACTGACATCGACAGCAATTCTCTAAAGTGGCATCCAGAAGTTCTGTTTCTTTTTTATTCATCCTTTGCCTTTTATTCCCATTTAATAAGGCAAAGTAGAAAGGGTCCGTCATATTTTACTGCTCTGTAAACATCATGGCGTGGTGTAGAGCATCCAATCCTGGAAGTAGCTTTATTGCCAAACCACAAACGGTATGACCGGAGTTCTGTTCGCGGGTCGAATCGCAGGTGACTATAAAGGCGTCCGTCTATGGATAAGCTCCATTGGGTTCCTGTACTTACATCGTTGATGTCATTTCAGTTTCTGCTTGCCACAATTCTAAGTCTCCGCTCTGATATGATCATTCCTACGCTCCTTTTTTCCCTCAGCGCCTGTACTTCGGCCTCCTTGGAACCCTCCTATGTCTTGCGGGCCATAGGAACGGATGAGGATCTGGCCCACTCGAGCATCCGCTTCGGCCTTGGACGCTTCACCACTCAAGAGGAAGTCGACTATACTGTCAAGGAGGTAGTCAAACATGTCAAGCATCTCAGAACAATGAGGTCTGTCTGCTTACCTCCCTTTTTCTTGTTTATGGTTCCATCCAAATGCTTTGTTTATGTTGGGCAAGTGGTTTAGGTGAGAAGGTCCGCTCTGGCCACGTTGAAAGCGCAAGATGATAGTAGAAATGGCAATAGCTAAATGAGGTGAATACAATTATTCCAAATTAATATTCTCACAGGCTATTGGGAAAAAAACATTGCAGCTCAATAAATCAACGAACGGAAATCTGCCTTAGCAGACAGTTTTACTATTTGGAAGATGAACTAGCCCTATGCAAGACAGGTTGCAGCTGATGAATGGAAGGCCTTCGTCTCAAGCTACACGTAAATTAACACCACTCCAACAATTGTGGGTCATCTAATGGCGGCTGGTTGTTGTGGAATTCGTACAACTCGGTTTGTTGACGAGTCGAGTGCCTGACCAGCAGTGCTTCGGTGGCTAAGCAGCTGGAACAAGAAGCTTTATTCTAATAGGGGACTCTGATTTTCTTAAAGCAAAATGTGACCATTCATCAGCAATACTGGCTTCCTCCTTAAAGGAAGTCAGGCAGTTTTATGCAGAACGAACAAATTTCTATTTAGCAGACCAAGTGTTTGTGTGTGTATGTGACCACTCATGATCACATTTGTGAATGCGTTGATCGTAACCTAAGTGGGGAGACGAGACGACCCGGTCACATGGAAGACCTCAGGTGGCTGAGACCCAAACTATCGTGTTAACTGAAGGGAGTGCGCGTGGCTACCTTTAACCAAACACTAATTTGCCCAGATGTATAGCTGAAACGGTGACAAGACGTCCACATTTTGGATAGTATGCAAGTTCCCTTTTGGGAGCGGGTAGTGGCAAAGTCCAATTATACTGACAATTAAGATGCACTTAACGTCTTCACAAGGTCTCACCGCGACCTTGACCTCCCAGTATGTTGTTTTTGAAGCATTTTTGCTAAAAAGTAGCTATTTAATTTACAGTCTCCTATTCAAAGTATCTTTTTCTTTAGCATTCAAGACTGATCATTTGTTTTAAACCTTGGTGCTGCTAATTCGAGATTTGATGCTTTGGCTTCCTCTCTTTCATCCATCTCGTCATAGAGGCTTCCACATCTTTATTGTATTTTGTTGTCTTCCTTGGGATCAGCTTTTTTCTACAATTGAAGTCGTACACGAATCGTTTTGTCCACATTGGTTCCACAAAGTCCGCGTTTTTTTATTCGTCCGTGGTTTTACTAGAAGCTTGAGCCACCTTCACCCTGATCACCAGGTGTGTGCCTGTTATTTGCCTGATTTTCCGCTAGTCGACAATGAGGGATTATTCAGCCACTGCTATTCCAATTTGCTGTTGCTCTTCTGGTTTTTTTTTTACTTCACCTCGTTTTAGCCCACTCTGGGAGATGTATCAGGAGGGAGTTGATTTGAAGACCATCAAATGGTCTCAGCACTAAGCAACCCTCTTTCCCCACTTGATCTTGCTTCAAATTTACTGCACAGTCAATGGATGAGTAGTCTTTTATTTGCCATTTGCAAATTTCATGTATAAAATCTTGTACTATTTCACAAATTGTCTTCTTACGTTTGACGGCTTAACACATCTAATCTCATATATCGAGGTAAAATTAACTTTAAGCCTTTCATTTAGAAAGGGTTTAAAGGGGAAATTTTTAGCGAATTTTATTTGTGAAGGCTAGCGGAGACCTTAGGTTGTGTAGTGGTGGGTTTCAATTTCTCTTCGAAGATTTAAAACCTCCTGGAAACTCTCGAGTAGCTCCTCCACTTTGTGGCTTATTTCAGGCGCAATCAGATCGCTCCCAAGTGTCACCGTTGAAACAAAATTCTGAAAGGTGAATAAGCCAAATGGAACTTGGGTGAATTCCGGGTTTAGACCAGAGGAATTACAATTGGATAAGAGTTATGCATCGTGGTTATGGGTTAGCCCTATTTAGGAACGAGGTGACGGAAAGTTGGCCTTCAGCCAGACACTCCTTCGATTGTTCCATTCAAGGCTTATGCATTATTCTGATTGATCAACTAGATTAGGAATGAATGCTAAAATTTAAGCTATCAATGCTATTTTACTACATTTTATTCAAACAATTTTCGTCAATTTTTAATTACCGGTGGATATTTTGGAGGAATTGTATCATTCAAATGAACACTTTGACGCCACTGCTGAGCTGTAATATACCTCCTATCACTTTTTGCGTAATGTATGAATAAAATAACCACCAAGCTCAGGTACCAAAATACCACGGAGTGGAAGAGCACCACTATGATGATAATACGGACGGTTTTCACTCCAATCCACGGCGTCGAGTCCATTTTCTTAGTGAATCTCTCTAGATCTACGAACAAAGAAATGCCGGATCAATTGGAATATTTGTGAAAGACGATATTGCTGAGAAGCGCCCACTTTGCCTTGGTCCACTAGTGTCCAACGTGAACTCCCATTCGCAGTCATAGAGTTGACACTTCACTAAATGCTTTTTCATGGCAGCTGCAGGAACGTCGATGAAGCCGTTTCCTTGAAGGGTTAGCCTCCTGCCAAGTATGAAACACTTGATATCCTCGACTCGAGCCAGAGTCTTTCTTGTCGCCCGTGAGCCCAACACATTGAAGGTCTGTTTGGAAAGAAAGTTGAAAGGAAAGACGAATGAAGGAGATCTGACAGTCGCGCTTTAGGACTCATTAAACCTCGTGATTGAGTAGAGGGTGTTCAAGGTCATTCTTTGCTATGTGCTTGTATAAGTGTGTCGTGTAATAACCTCCGTCTGGCAGAATCTGTCACTTAAAAATGCAAAGATTTATGGATAAAAAGCGACCTGTGTAGTGTATGATTTACACCTGACACGAGTATCGTGGGTCATCCCAGACAGCATTCATCAAGGTAGCAGGGGTAGGGTGTTGACGAAATTTCTCGTGAATAAAGGTGAAAAATGCACTAATGTGTGTGTTGGTGAGACACTTTGAAGACGACTGTACACCTGTCAGTGAAGATTTTAGGAACGCCCAATCAAAACATTGCCTACGGTGTGACGGAGATTTAAGTTCTAGTCACTTCGCCTTCTTGTGCAGCTTTACTTCCCCACTGAAAGTTTTACATGTGAACGCATAATGCCAGGGTGAGATGGCCCTGGGAGAAATATCAGATGGAAATACGGAAGATAAGGATGCGTCAGAACCCCTCACTCTTCCACCCTGAATTACAAGCCCTCTTACGGCCAAGTTTTGCGACCCCATGAGTTGCGACATTTTGGTTTTTCTTGTTGGGGGACCATTTTCTTCCGATTGGATGGTATACCATTCCTACCTATCTCCCAGTTGGAAAGCATTCTTTCACGTGCTATGTTCACTTATATCGAGTGGATAGATCACATTCGCAGTTTTGTTGAGACGTCAGTAAGTGCGAGATCCCTAGTGGACAAGTACATCCCCCACCCAAAGCGGGCACAGTCTTCTGGAGGTGGGGTGTTGTCACAGAAGATAGACAATAATGCGCTCATTCACCGTGTCTACTCACCGTGTTTGAAGGTTCAAGTTGAATAATGCCCCTCGGAAATTCATATTCCAGATGATGATCGAATTCTATCTCAGAAATTAGTAGTTTTTTCTTCTGTTCAGGTGTTCTACAAGCTACAAGGACTTTTCGAATGCACATGAGGCTATCCAGTTTGATGTACACTCTAGATGAGGATTTCAGTATAATGATTGTTTGATTGGTGGCAGGATCCCAGACCTGACAGTGAAGATGTTCTTTCGAACAGTAGGTGTGCAAACAAGCTTGAATCATTACCTCCATGTTTCGTGGATTGTAGAAGTTTTGATGAGGCGTGAATCGCAATTCCATGTCCGCATATTCTATCAGAGTGGATTAAAAAAAAATTAAATTGGACAGACCAAGTTTCGGAATCTTGAAGACGTATCGAAGAAGACATTTTTCACTGTCCAATCGCAAAACAATATCCTTGAGACTGCGATTCCTGTTCTCAGGAATGCCCAAGTCGTCTTTGAGACATGCGATCTTGAAGCGATTTGAGCCCACTTTTGCACACACCAGGTCTTGACGATCTTCCACGGAGCATCGCGTTTTACCATTAACGTCGAAGAATTTAAGGGTGAATTCGACTTTAGTGAAGAGATCACAGTAGTCTTGAATGCCCACCAGCTTTCCCACATGTGCCTCCTTGTGAAACTTGCAGCTACAGTCTGAAATATTATGCAAAATCTCTACATGTTGCTCCAGCCAATGAAATGGCGACCTTGATCTACACCCTGCCTTGCTATTGGTTCGCTCAGCTTGGTATTATAAAGTCAAAGTACTAATCTGAATAGGCTTTCATAGTTGCGATTTCACCTGAACAACGTTCCACATAGTTAAAAATTGCCGAACATACTCTTGATGTGGACATTAAACGTTTGATTCACCATAGCACTGACTCCAAATACGCGATAGTCACCACAGAATCCCTTGCGTATTGTCAAAGTACTCTTGGAAACCTCATAAAAATTATTAACTGGGTTTGTGGCTGCAGTGGGTGAACCGGCATGGTCAAACGGAACGTAGGTAAGTTGCTTATAGGGACCAGTGCCACCACCGCCAGATACCATGGTATTGAATCTTGCCTTGTCAGTACCCAGAAGCGACACCCGGTCGTCTATCCATTTATTCCACAGCTGGCGATGATGAGCGGAGTCAATCTGACCCACGTATATGTGCACAAATATCTTCATCTCAGCCGAAAGCTTGTGGGTGCTAAGACGCAGCTCAATATTGCCTTCAAGACCTAGAATCCGCAATATATATATATGTATAAAAGTGCTCTTGGGCACTGTTTTTAGGAAAAAAATTCTTTTTATTCCAAAACCGATAATGAGAAGTAAGGTTTAACCGTAAAAATTCGTTCAAAGACACGAATCACTGTTTCTATCAATCGATCACTCCTACTTGTCCCTCATCACCTACTGAATCTCTTCTCGTGTTTCAATTTGAATTGCTTTTATTGCCTTCTGTCACAAACTAGTAAACATTGTATTCAAGCATTACTAGTCAGTGAAACAAGAATATGTAATAAATGCGGTGGAGTAGTTGAAAGATAATCGACTGACTATAGGCGGGTCACTTGAAATTTACGGTTGTTAAACTCACTAACGATGCAAAATGCGGCTGCCGTCTCAGCGCACTGATAATAGCCATCATCTAATTCATCAAGATTGAGGCTGTATTCTTCAGAATCATTAGGGCAGGGGTTGAGCCTGGAAAATGCGTTTAGTTGCAACTGTCGAATGAAAATGTGACAAGTCAAGTCACCTTCAATACAGTCCTCACAGATGCCCCATTCGTAATTGCTAATACCACACCTTGTGAGGACAGAAAGCTGCGAAATTATCACCACAAACAGCAGTAACATAACAAGAATGATGATCTGACTTAAGAATCAATAAGTGCCAGATTTAAAAGTGGCCAGAACCCTATTGGTCAACAACTGTTCAATGGGGAAGAAGCTCAGGAACACTAACCAATCACAAGGGAATACTGATAATAACTTCACCTTGTACGTTTTTGCTATTGTATTCCGTAAGATTTTCTAATTAGT